AGGTGCTGAAGGAAAGGCGAGGGTTTGGGGGAGCTGCGATTGCTGGCCGCAGGCAGGCAAGCGCAGGGCACGCGGCAGACAGGCGCCCACCCACCGCGAGCTGCGCCAGGGCCACTCTGCCGCCTGCCCCGCCGCGCGCCTGCCCTGCCACAGCAGCAAGCTGCCCGACAGCAGCAGGACCACTATGGACCTGGCCAGGACGATCTCCATGACAGGGAGGCCCTGCCCTCCGGCCAGCTTGGCGGCCAGGCCCATGCCTGCGGCGCACAGGCCGCTGACCAGCTGCAGGTACAGGCCCGCCTCCGCCCGCCCCGCGCATGGCAGCCGCATCGCCTGCCTGCCTCCTGCGCGCACAGCGAAAGCGAGAACTGCGCCTCAGATGGCCAAGGCGGAAGGCAGCGTGCTGCTGCGGCGGCAGCAGCGGCGGCGGGCAAGCCAGGCGGTAGGGCCGCCTACCTTGGCTCGCCTGTGGGGCCCGCTCCCTGTACTCTGCACAACTCGCGATCACTCCCGTGCAGCGCGCCACACCACCCGCGGCCTCGAAGTGCCGCGCCCCCGTGTTCTGCCACCACCAGCGATGCGCTGTTCTCGTTACGTCAAATGCTGCAGGTGAATTGTGACTGCGAGCTGCGAAACAGCCGAGTAATGGGTTTGTGCCTTCCTGCTGATGCGCTTGTGGGCGCCCGAGTCCCGCCAGCTGGCGGGGAGCGGCGCTACCCAGCCCCGAGTGAGCTGGCATCAATTGCAGACGAGGGATGGAGCTATTTACAAGTTCACGATGAGGCATCGAGTACGAACGAATGGATATCTATGCAAATCAGGAAGAATAAGGTATGTTGTTCTACTTGGCAGGGAGGGCAGCGATGCCGCTGACGAAACGCTCAAGGGCACTGACGAAAGGCTCAAGGGCAGGTGCTAACTAACATCTAGAATCTCCTCAGGCCATTCGCACTGCCGTCCCCCTAGCCGCAATCAGATTTTCATCCTTGATGTGCATCGTCGCCAGCGGGGCCGGCTTCACCACCGGCAGCAGCGGGCCCGCGCCCAGCTGCTGCCCCGCACGGCTCTGCTGCCATGCGTTGGCAATGGCGTCCCGCAGCAGGCCGGGCGGGATGGGGCCCGAGCGCTGGCGCTCGGCGGCGGGCTTGACCAGCGGCAGCAGCACCGCGCCGCCCGTGTTGGCGTCCACGAGCAGCGGCACCTGCCGCGCGGCGGCTGCCCGCGGGCTGCCGGCGGCTCGCGAGGCGCTGGAGGAGCCGGCTGCCGCCTGTGCCCGCTCGCAGGTGACCAGCAGGCCGCCCAGGCAGATGGCGGCGCCACCCACGATGGAGCTGGCCCTGGGGGTGTGGCCAAACAGGTAAAAGTCAGCAGCCAGGCTCCAGACCCTGCACGCGGACATGTGGGGTGGCGGCGGGTGAGGCAGGGCGCAGGTCAGCGTGCGCAGGCCCTCGGCAGGCAGCAGCTGGTGGCAGGCATGCGGGTACCACGCCCCCGGCGCTGCCTCCTCACCCTGAGAGGTAGGACAGCGGGGCGGCCCTGGTGGCCGGCGTGCGCTGCATGGCCGCTGTCATGGCCGCCTGGTGGCCGAAGCTCTGCAGGCGAGGCGGCAGGGGGCGCAGGCGCACGCGGGTGAGCCACAGCGGCTGGCCCTCTACTGCCCTCTGTACGCTGCCATGAGTGCGCAGCCAGCGGCAACAGCCGGTGAAGGCTGGCTGGCTGGGGACTGGGCCAGCGGCAGCATCAGAGGCGAGGCGATGACCTTGTCATCTCACGCAGCAGGCGCGTGTGCTGCCCGCTCACCGCAGCTCCCATGCCCGCTAGCAGAGCCCAGCCGGCGGCGTGCTGGGGCCACACGAGGCGCGCCTGTTGCAGCATGCACGCCGCCGCCGACCCCAGCGCCGACACCAGGCCCGCCGACAGCACGATGGCACTGGCGGCCTGGTGGGAAGAGGAGCCGGCCGCCAGCTGGCGCACGCTCAGCTTGGCGCCCGCAGAGGAAAGCACGTGGGCCAGGCCAAACGCCACGCCGGCCGCGGCGGGCGCCAGTCCCGCCGTGCCGCCGTCGGCGCCAGAGTCGGCGCCGTGTGCCGCGCCGTCACCCATGAAGGTTTGGAAGAACGCGGGCCTGACCAGCAGCAGCGCCCCCGACGTGGCCATGGGGAGCGCCACCAGCAGCATCTGCGGCGGGCGCTCCCGCAGCAACAGCGTGCCGGCGGCAGCCACCACCAGGGGCGACAGCATGGCCAGCGCCACAGCATCCGACACGGCCAGCAGGCTGACGGCCTCCTGGATGCACGCCACAGACACAAAGCCGAGCACGCCGCGCACCACCCACAGCGCCGGCCTGCACAGGCAACGGGAGGCCATCGGCGAGCGGGGACGGGATCAGCAGGCGGCAGCGGAGCCAGCCGAGGCCCCCCTTCTCAGCGGTGCATGTGCTGCCCGGCTCAAATGTGGTGAGAGGGGCACTCCAGCATGACCGATCAAACGGCTCTCGCTGGGCCATTTGCCGCCACAACGGTCAACTCGCCTCTCAGCTATGACCTGCCGGGCGGCAGTGTGCCGTGCGGTGGGCCACCAGCATGCAGCTCCGCAGAAAGACAAGCTGCATGACGGGCATCGGGGCCTCTGGACCTGCGGCAAGCAGCAAGGCAGCAGCCTTGCATCGACAGGCAGCGCTACCTGGCAGCTCAGGTAGCAGGGCAGCTAGCTGGCGCCGCCTATGGCGTGGGCGGCGGGCATGGACGGCAGCCGAACGGTGACTGTTGCAGGTCCCGGCCTACCAGCATAGCCCGACAGGAATTTTGAAGCCACGAGCGACAGACTCGCCAGGAGAGTCGATGCGGCGTAGAGGAGCAGACCCGTGAGCTCCCGCTGGCCGCTCGGCAGCACGCCCATGCTTATGTTTTTCTCAGTGGCAAAGGGGAATAGCTTGGTCGCACGCGTACTACAAATGATCATCAGGCAAAACGTTTGGTTTGCCTGATGCTAGCATGCTAGTACATCGGCTGGCATCTGCTGGCACTCGCGAGCGGGCAAAGTACCAGCTGCACGCGTAGATTCGTTCGCAAAGCGGATTATAGATGATGAGGACGTCTGGACAAGGGAAACACGTGGCCGATGTGTGCTACTTGCAGCCGCCCTGCTGCGCCTGCTTTGCTGGCGCCGGTGGCAGGAGCTGGCCCTTGCATTGCAGATGATGTGAAGAGAAAGAGCTATCGACATGGCTGCAATGAATCCCAATTGCACATGCATGCAATTGGCAGGACGCCGCGCCTCACCCCTCGCTGCTGCTGCCGCTGTCGTAGCCGCCCTCCATGGCCGCTCCCGCCTGGGCTTGCAGCTGGCGCAGCGGCTGGCCGCAGGCAGGCAAGCGCAGGGCACGAGGCGGGCAGGCGCCCACGCACAGCGAGCTGCGGCAGGGCCATTAGAAAGGGCCAGGGCGAGCTGCGCCAGGGCGCCAGGGCGCCAGGGCGAGCTGCGCCAGGGCCATCAGAACTGCGCCCTGCCCCGCCGCGCGCCCTGCCACAGCAGCATGCTGCCCAACAGCAGCAGGACCACTACGGACCTGGCCAGGACGATCTCCATGACAGGGAGGCCCTGCCCTCCGGCCAGCTTGGCGGCCAGGCCCATGCCTGCGGCGCACAGGCCGCTGACCAGCTGCAGGTACAGGCCCAGCATGGCAGCCGCATCGCCTGCCGCATCGCCTGCCTGCCTCCTTTGCGCAGCGAAAGCGAGACCTTCACCTAGGATGCCACAAGGCGGAAGGGGAGCGTGGGGCGGCAGCGGGCACTGCAGCGGGGCCGCCTTGGCGCGCCTGTGGGGCCTGTTCCCTGTACTCTGCACAACTCACGATCAGTCCCGTGCGGCAAGCCACACCACCCGCAGCCTCGAAGTGCCGCGCCCCGTTTTCTGCCACAGCGATGAGTTCAGCTGTTCTCGTCAAGTCAGTGAAATGCAGGTGAGTTGTAACTGAGGCTGCGACTAATGGGTTTGTGGCTTCCTGGCTGGACCGCCTTCAGTCCCGCAGCTGGCACCGGCGGGGAGCCTCGTGAGCGCCGCTACCCCGCCCCGAGTGAGCTGGCATCAATTGCAGACGAGGGATGGAGCTATTTACATAATGAGGCATTGAAGTACGCATGAATGGTTAGCTATACAAACCAGGAAGGAGGCATGTGTTCTACTTTGGAGGGAGGGCAGCAGTTGCCCTGATCAGGGCGTCATGAAGACGTCATCTCAAGGGCAGGTGCTAACTAACAACTAAACACTCATCAGGCCATTCGCACTGCCGCGCCCCTAGCCGCAATCAGGTTTTCATCCTTGATGTGCATCGTCGCCAGCGGTGCCGGTTTGACCACCGGCAGCAGCGGGCCCGCGCCCACGCTGCCCCGCGCGGCTCTGGTTGCCACGCGTTGGCAAGGGCGTCCCGCAGCAGGCCCTGCGGGATAGGGCCCGAGCGCTGGCGCTCCGCGGCGGGCTTAACAAGCGGCAGCAGCACCGCGCCGCCCGTGTTGGCGTCCACGAGCAGCGGCACCCGCCGCGCGGCGGCTGCCCGCGGGCTGTAGGCGGCTTTCTAAGCACCGGAGGAGCCGGCTCGCTCGCAGGTGACCAGCAGGCCGCCCAGGCAGATGGCGGCGCCACCCACGATGGAGCTGGCACAAGGGGCGTGCCCAAACAGGTAAAAGTCGGCAGCCAGGCTCCAGACCCTGCACGCGGACATGTGGGGTGGCGGCGGGTGAGGCAGGGCGCAGGTCAGCTGGCGCAGGTCCTCAGCAGGCAGCAGCTGGTGGCAGGCATGCGGGTACCACGCCCCCGGCGCTGCCTCCTCACCCTGAGAGGTAGGACAGCGGGGCGGCCCTGGTGGCCGGCGTGCGCTGCATGGCCGCTGTCATGGCCGCCTGGTGGCCGAAGCTCTGCAGGCGAGGCGGCAGGGGCGCAGGCGCAC